ATGCCTTGATCTATCGATCAGAGACTGTTAAGAATGCACTCAGTGAACTCCGCAGAGGCTATTTAAACTGAAATAGTCGATATATGAGGGGGGTGTAATAAGTGTATTTGTCCCCAGAAAAAACGATTAAAAAATGCAATTGTACAATAAAGTTGCATTTCACTCAAATATACCTGCAACTCTTCTCCTAATGCGCCGGAGCATTGCATAGTTCAACATGATGTTTCCCTGACCGTACAGTAAATACATAATAAGAATTAAGAAATAATTCGAAATCTATTATCTAAGTTATTTGAAAAATAACTTAAATCAAATATCACAACAATTACTTATCGAAAACAACAAATTTTCCGAATATCAAACTTCTATTCAAAAACATCAAGATCAACTTACTACACTGATTGGGAAACTAACAGCAGCTTCGATCAAGGGAATGGACTTACTCTTTTGTTCAAATGAATAATACAACATTCAGGTATTCAGATCCGTGTGTAAGAAAAGACATTATTAACAAATATGATGACTCAGTGAGGAAGGAAAATACCCTTAGTCAGGTGTGTAACGAATGAAACTCTAGAATATGCATCTCTGATCTTTGTCGTTTATGGAAGAAGAGACCGGATAAGGTCCTAAAAATTTGTTTATTAAACTTTAATGTGAAAGGATTAAGTTTTCATCTAACTTATGTGGATATTCTACTATCAACTTATACTCCTCAGATAGCTATTCTAACTGGTGTGGGTGCGCTCTTGAGAAATCTTCATCCTATACCAGGATATCGTTGGGTGATGCAGTCCGGGACGAACAGCTTTGGAGGTGTGGCCGTGCTAGTTTATCACACACTTCAAACAAAAATTGTCAGCACTGGCACTAATTTTATTCTATTTGAATTAAAGGTAATCCCTGAACCAGTTCTGATTGGTGCCCTATATGTACCCCCAAATACAAAATCTCTATTTCATCTTTTTGAATCCTGTACTGATAAAAATTTCTATGTCTTTGATGACTTTAATGCAAAAACCATAGAATGGTTCTGTGCGAAAAATAATTCGAGTGGGAGCCAGTTGAAGGACTGACTAGATGCGAATGGATATGAGATCATTGCATCCAAAAAGCCAACATCAAAAATATCTAATTCCGTTATTGAGTTTGGTATCACTAATGATGCGAATGTATGGAACACAGAGGTTCTTAGTGAAGGAACATCTGATCATTTTCCTGTGCTCTGTTTTGCTACCTTCACAGAATCGCAAACAGGTTGTTTTCGAAAACCTAACTGGAAAATTTTTTCGTTTTTTCTTGAATGTATTTATCCGTACTGGAATACATTTATTTATAATGCAGATGAGCAGACTTTTTTTATCTATTCTCCTCCTTTCTCTCTTCTCTGTGGGATAGATGTAGTGAATACGAACAGATTAAAAAATACAGATCACCCTGGCCATGCTATCTTGTTACTCTAGCAAGAACAGTTAATTTTTGGAAAAGAAAATGTAGAAGAAACCATATATTAAACCACCATGTTATGTTTCGCTACTGGAAAAGAATTTTTACGGAAGAAATATAAAATATCTAGCTAGAAAAGATAGAAAGTGACAAGCGCACTTGGATGCCACAAGGTCAAAATATATGGAAGTTTGTCAAACCAACGAACGTTTCACCCTTTTCACCACCTTTTAAAAGTCTTACAATTCAACAAACTCGTATAATAAATGAGACTCAAATTGTTGATGCTCTAGCAAAGTACTATGAGAAGCACTTTTAAGCACCGGTATTTGACATCAATAACCCAACCCACACGGAAGCAAATGAGATATATAAACTAGTCGGCAATATGCCAAATATTCCGTTGGAACCGATTAAAATGGATGAAGTTATTAAACAATTTAATAAATTAAAGGCTAAAAAGTCTCTAGATAGTACGAAAACGTCCGCTTTTCTGCTTGAAAAAAGCCGTATGAATATATTCAAACATTATCGGTTCTGTTTAACAAATGCGCACAAAATGAAACTTTTTTCGAAAAGAGTAAACATGCAAAAATATTTTGCCTTTCCAAAGACAGAATACCCGGAGGTAAACAGAATGAGACCCATCTCGCTGCTACCAAACATATGCAAATGATTTGAGCGCATTGTTCACGAACGTATAATGAAATGGTGTGAACGGACAGGAATATATATTGACGAACAATACGGGTTTACCCCTGGTAGGAGATTACAAACAAAAATTCTATCACTATGTGAGGATTTAAGACTTACAATTGCTGCCTGTAATCGGCCAGCGTTAGTTATCTTCGTCGATTTTTTGCCTGCGTTTGACAAACCTTGGTATCCGGCCTTAATAAAAAACCTATACGAGCATGTGCTACGTGATCTACTTAGATGGATCTACGGATGGCTTCAAGACCGATCTTTCTCCATTCACTATGGTGATATAATGTCTCGTGTTATAAGAATGTATGTAGGGGCTCCGCAAGACTCAGTTCTTGCAGCAACATTATTTCGTCTTCATCTCCCTTTTTTGCCACAACGCTTCTTTCAAGCAATATCACACTCTTCTGCAGATGATTTAGCTATTGTCTTAACTGGATCCCTCGAGAAGCGTTTTTCACACAATATCGAAGACTTTGAAAAACGTGCGCAAGCTGTGTTAAAAGTATTAGAGAAATTCTCAGACGATAATATTCTAGCTGTTAATGTTCCCAAAACGAAAGCACTCCTTGTTCACAGCGTTGTAGCTCCCAAGAAACCTCAACTCACATATAAAGGAATTCTGATTGCTTTTGTAAATTTTTTCAAGTATTTAGATGTTGAAATTCGAACTAAAATGGGTTAGAATGGATATATTTTAGGAAGATTAAGGAGGATACGTAAAATTTACAATGCACTAAGTATAAAATTCCGTTCTATACCAAAATCACACGTATCTATGGGAAGAAAACTTTTTTTTGTATATGCACTATCCCACTTCTGTTTACTCTTTCCAATTCTTTTCTATTTCACTGAGAAGCAAAAACTTCAAATTGAATATCTTCATATCACAGGGCTTAGACTTGTATACAGATTGTGGAACTGGGATGATCTCACAACAATGATATTATCTAGAGAACTTACTCTGAGAGATTACTTACTACGTTATTGGTTAAGGTTATATAAGCATCTCTCTGAGTCTCCTGAGACACTTGTCTATCAACAAACCTGGACTGCATACCAGATTGCTAGCCAATCAACGAGGGAATGGTATAGAGCGAGTGGTTTCCACAAAAACAGTAGATTTCCTCGGAGACTTGCTGACAGCACATCACACAAATATAGACGTTCGCAACTTCATAAACATTCAAAAACAGCAATATAGCCTTTATAAAAAAAAAAACACTAATTCAATTTTTTGTATACAAATACTTTAACTTACTACCTAAAATATTCTTTTTTTTGTTTTTATTTAACAATGGAAGTTTTTGATTTCTGTTTAGTTTTATATCTTTCTACTTCTTGATTTATGCGTATTTAGGATAAAACTGAATTTCTTATTGCTTAATCCTTCCACATATCCTTTTTATCCGCTTCTACTAATATGATCTACGTGTGTTATGTGTATTTTACTTGAATCGTTTTTGTTAACCTTTTTCAAGGAACAAATAAACTACTTCAATGTTAAAAAAAAGATTCGAAATCTAGATTCTTTCGTAGTAGTAGTAAAGTTAGTTCAATATCACCGTTCGGATCACGTAGTTTTATTTGTTAAAGCTATCTACCTCCTTTACAGGCGTTATGGTTTTAACAAATCTTTTGTAAACGTTTTACACGTAATAACTTTCCTCAGCTGCAGCGGGAGAATTTTCCATATCTTGATTGTATATGGAAAAAAGGAAGAAAAAAACGTTTCAGTTTTTCCATAGATCGGTTAAGTCAGATCTAACCGTTTGATCGCGTACTATAAGAACAATTTACTGCGAATTTTATATGTTTACCAAAAAAGTGCGGGGCTTGCATGGTAATGACCTTATACATTAGCTTTAATTTGAGCACTTCGAACTACACATGTAATTCCATTCATCCAAGAACTTCCATAATTTTCGGTTTAATACTTAAATGAAATGCACCAGAAACAATTAAGCTAGCATGGTGTTGTAGCCGATCGAATATATGATGGTTATGTTTATTTATGTAGACGGCACACGCGTAAGTTACTATGGAGAAAACAAAAGACTTGTACTTGGTTTAGCTTAGATATGCTAAATATTTTTTTAAACTTCTTCATTAGATTTCAAATTTGATTACATTTACTCAGCACATATCTTTCATGAGGGTTCCAGTTTAATTTTTGTGTTAAAATCACTCCCAGGTGCTTGTGCTCAGTAATTTCTTTCAGTACTGTTTTACTAATAAGAAGATTTAAACCAAAAACAAAACACAAAAACACAATAAAAAAATACACATTGAAGGATAACAGTCATTGCACAACTTCAATCATTGTGCAGAATATAGGAAAGAACAACGAAGTTGATTTTTACAGTTCGTCTGCAAAGATCAAGTTCGTGTGTTCGATCCTAGCTTCGTGCAAGGATTGATTTTGTGTTTTGATAGTTTAAGTTTCAGAATGATATAATGGGAATTTATATTCTCGATTTC